TAGTTTCAGCATAAATAGCTAATTTAAGTTAAATAGAAGCTACATTCTGAGTGCAGTGCTCTGAAGTCTAGCTGAGGGTTTCATAAAAGGATTGAAATTTATTCGACACACAAAAACCACGTGGTACCGCCTATTTTGAAAACACTTTTCCATTTATCGTTTCATCATCACAAGAAGACATACGTAGGTAGAATTGATATTGACCATTAATTTCGCGTGCTCTCATGCAGCAAGATTATGGTTTGTCTACGGGACGTTTCGTTGTGTCTTTCGCACTAATCTCGATCGAAAAAACGTCAGTGTCACCTCCGACTGTATCTATTCATTTCATTATATCTTCAGTCAGCGGTACATCGGAAGGACTAAAGGTCGTTTATCAACCAGAATGTGTGAACATTCCGAAACATCTTGGTGTTCTCGGAGAAAAACTACCGTCTAGTGCAATCGCCCGTCGTGTTTTAGATTCCGGTCACCATGTAGACGCACCCAAAGCGTTTCGAATCACTTCAAGGCCACGAAGTTCAAGTACTTTGCGATTCTTAGAGGCTTGAAACTGCAATCAGGTGTTCAAAAAACATTTGTCAAGCAATTGTTACTGCCGTAGTAGTAATGACTTTACGTTTGATACCACCCTGCCATAGTGTGATATGACCTCCCCTCCGTCCACCACATCGTTTGGGCCAGTTCATCGCCAGATCAAAATTGTCATTTAACTTAACTTCAACTCCTAACCGAACACAAATCACTTTCCACCATCACCTTCATCAAATGACTGATTTCAAGTGCCTATTTTATTTCAGTTTTGACTACACAGCAGATAATGACAAAAATTAGGAACAAGTAACGGAAGTAACGTAGTACTCACCGGTCCTGTTTTCTTTGTCTCAAATATCCCAAATGATTATTGAGGAGAGATTAGCTTGTCTTAGCCACGACGAATGAAAACCAAAACACAAAGGCGCCCAAGTTTTTCAGTGAGATCCGTTCCATCCATGGATCTCGTGTGATCCCAAAAGATTTTTCATACTGCTTACAAGCATACAAAATTGGCCAACATATATATCGCAGTTTGTGAAATTTTCTCACTTAGAAGATGAACTTTATAAACCCGACGACAAAAGTACTGCACCGCGCTAGGCTTTTAGATTATCTCCGCGCCCAAATAAACAATCATCATCATTTTTGAAAATCTAGATAGGGCACTACGAGACCGTACCAATCACGGTGAGGTGGACGAGACTTATTGATAGGGAGAAGTCCAGGAGTAATGCATTTCGTCGGATCAAGGTCAGCACACAAGATAGCCAGACCATGTAACGGGTCCCGATCACATTGCAATTACAATTGTGACTGTTTATGAGCTAGAAATAAACGTGATTGGTTCATTAAGATCAAAATGGGAAAGGACAACAATACCTGTCAAGTTCTACAAGCACATGTTGAACTGGGGGCCAAGGTCAATTCTGGAAACTTCCGATGACCTTCTATCTCGTGCAACGTGTCACGCCATTTTGCGCCATCTCGACAGGACTAAGTCATGGTAAAGACCTCAAACTCCGTGAGTTATGCATCGGAGTTGAAAACGGTACTTGAGTCGAACGCATCTTTGAGATTTGTGCAACGATCACTTGAAGTGTTACGTAATTACCAGTAATGCAAACACGCCGAGTAAACTGATGATAATTGCAGTGGCTTACGCACCTCAAATAGAAATCCTTTGCTTGTCATGCTCATTGAGACAGATACTGGTTGACAGAAAATCAAGATGTCAGAGTACACGAAGGCCTGAATAAGGACGGTGATCAGCGAACTGGATTAAGTCAAACATCCCTTTTGAGTCTACGGAATCACCTGAATGTGCTGCTGTAGATATTACTTTACAGTCGATTACCCTGAACGACAGTGCTTTTGTTGCACAAAGTTTTTCGCATGCTTTACACTTCCTTCTTCAATGAACTTTGTCTTTCCTTGGTTTCTATTGTTTGACTAAATAGGTAGCAAAACAGTTGTAACAGCGTTTAGCGATTGAACCCAAAAGTAAAGGGATCATTGTCTGTGGACAAATAACACGTCAACCAAGCTGAACACGTCCAGAAACCCTGAATGAATAATTTGAGCAACAAGACAGTTGGAAGGAAATTGGGGTTAGTACAGATTAGTCAGATCTCACGCCATTTAACGATGCGATACAAGACGAATATTCTTGTACAAAATGATGTTTGATATACGACTACGGCTTCAGCAGGATACTTTGACACTACTGCTGGATAAAATTCATTGCTATCTTCATCTCAGTTCGATTGTGAGTAAAGGCGATGAATTGGAAAATCATTTTGAGGCCTTAAAGGGTGCAAGGATCGTAAACTGATGGCTAGAATGCACAATCACACGGAAAAAAGAAACTCTTTAGATGAGTAGTGGTGGCGCAGTCGTTTAGTCACTGTCACCGGTGTGCTTTGGACCCTGCGGTTCGAGCCCCGTCAACGCCACCCAACTTTGGTGGTAGGCNTTGCTTTCGCCCAGTTCTATACCACGTCTTACCTAGCGAGGCCTTATGAGGTTCGCCACTACCAGTCCCGGGGCTTAGATTGCCGGTTACCATCTCTAAACAGCAAGTCTATGTGACTATCGAGGTCACTCCGTCTGCTGTTCATCCCACACTGGTGTATAGTAAAAAAAATGCGTATTCAAAACTTATTAAAATTTGGTGCACAACTTTGACTGTTGGATAGGTTCGGTTTTTACAAACATTAATCATACACTTTCGTGTGCCGATTTTGGTTGCTGTTGGATAGGCCAATTAGCAGAACTAGTTTGCAGTACCAGTTACGCGATGTCAAGCTCTAGAGACCAATAGGTGTGAAATATACAGTGTATAACGAATGCGATGGGGAGGGAGGACAATTATTTTGAAATGATTGGTGTTAAGATATAGCTAGGACTTACTATCCAAAACTCCATGACGTGATTTAAGAAAAAGACTTCCCGAC